CCCCCCCCCCCCGCAACACGCCAAGGACTCCGCGGTCCCCGGCCCCTCCTCGGAAGGTGACACTGGGACACCAACCCGCGGAGTTTTGTGCCACCGACACCACCGCCAAAAAAAGCGGGGGGGGTGCCCCAACCCTCCCCAAACCCCACTGACCCGGGGGGGGCAGCTCAGAGACCGAAGCATCTCCCCCCTGGCCACGCTGCCAGGGCTGGGGGCGGGGGGGGCGAGATGAAATCTCTGCTAAAAATATAATTAGCTCAGTCTTTGCAAATAAAAAAAAAAGCCTGGATGCTGCCTACGGGCCTACTAGGGCACTTAGTGGCCAGGGGCAAGCAGGAGCCACGGGGAGCCCCGCTGGTCCCCCCCGTCCCCCCCCCCCAGCATCAGCCAGGCAGGAGAGTTGCAGAGGAGCCTGCCTGCCGCAGGAGCAAGCTGTAATTAACTTCTCCCAAGCATCATCAATTCGGGCAGAGCCGTCCGCAAGACGAATGGGAGTCGGAGAGAATGAATTAGGCCTGGCCGAGCTGCAAAAAGCAGCCCCTGGTGTGACATCCCCAGCCCCGGGGGTGAGGGGGGGGAAGGGGGGGTCCCCACGGGTCCCTCCATGCTGCAAGCGTGGCTCAAGCCCTGCTGGAGAAATCAGAAGTTGTGGGTCCAACGGGTGATGCTCGTACCTGGGGTGAGCAGCCTCCTGGGAGCAGGTCACTGGCATTCGGGGAGAACGAAGAGAAAGGGAAAAAAAAACCCTAAAATCTTCCTGGGAGCAGGTCACTGGCATTCGGGGAGGACGAAGAGAAAGGGGAAAAAAAACCCAAAAACCCTAAGGTGAGCAGCCTCCTGGGAGCAGGTCACTGGCATTCGGGGAGAACGAAGAGAAAGGGAAAAAAAAACCCTAAAATCTGAGCTCTGCTCACAGCTCGGGTGGCCAGAGAGAAGGCTTCGGATGGCAGGATTTGGGGACAGCCAGCGGGATTTGGGGACGGCAGAGCGGAGAGCCCAGTGCCTGAGGCTGCTTAAAGGGACACTCACAAACTCAGACCCAAAAAAAAAAAAAAAAAAAAAAAAAAGTCATCTGCCTTATTTGGTGAGGAATGGGCTGCAGGTTCTGAAATACATTTTTTTGTTTGTTTGTTTTAAATCAAGCGCTCCTTTGCTGGGAAAATGAAAGAGATGGGGATGGGAGGAGTGTGTGTGGGGGGGGCAGTGGGGGGTGGGAGAGGGAGAAAATAGCCCCTCCTGTTTACATGCCTTGGGATTAGGGCAAGGCATGGCCGAGCAGCCCCAACCAGCCCAGTGCCCTGTGTCCTTCTTAAAAAGGCAATCGGCCCCGCTCATGTCCCCGGCACGGCATGGGATGCCTGCATCCTACAGATGTGAAATCCAGGGGGTTCAACAAGGCTGCCTGGGTGGGAGCACAGCCCAAAGGCCACCCCCCAAAATGCATCTGCAGGAGGCCTTGGCTCCCCCCAGCAGCCCTGTCCCCAACCCACAGCATGGAAACCAGTCGAAGGGTGGGAGCAGAGGGGCTGGATCCCGGGGAGCAGCTCCTGCTGGAGCTCATTGCCCTGGGATGGAGCAGGTCCCACCGTCCCGAGAGACGCGCCATCACCGGTCCCTTATCTAGGGGAAAGGAAGCTTCTGTATTTATTTTGTGGAGGGAAAAAACCTGCTTTTTTACTGCCGATAGAGCCCCCGTCACAGGCTCCCCGCTAACCCCGGAGCTGTGCTGGAAAGATAAACACAGCTCTTTTCCTGAGCATAACAAAAAGTCCCTCCATAAAACGGGGTTATTATTTTTTTTGTTCAATCCTCTGGTGCTGTTTTCTCCTCCCGAGTGTGGGTAGGTTTATCCCACCCAAAATGCTGCGTGAGCATCCCCTGACAAAGCGTGGCCGGGGCAGAGCTGGCAGCTGAGGAAGGATGAGGATGGGAAGGGGGCAAGGATTGCACCCTGTCCCTTAGGGAGAGCTGGGCACCCCGGGCAGGGCCACCACGTGCCCCCCAGCCAGCCCCCACCCAGCTGCTGCCTCTAAACCCATCCTACATCCCGGGGAGAAACCCACCAGCTGTGGTGCCTGGGATGTCCCTCTTTTGCAGCCTAGGAAAGAGGCTCCCTTCTCCTGGTTGAGAAATAAATCAGTCAATAAATAACTCCAGGAAAGGAGAAATGCTTTGAATTTACCTGGGAGGGGTTAACACCGGGCTAGTCCTTCCTAATGTAATTGCTACACAGACCCTGCAGGGAGTCCTCCCTGGGTGCAGCCCTGCTAAGGTATATCAAAGCCACATCCTCAGAGGTACCTGCCAGAGCATCTTTTACTATAATAAGCTTAACTCCTGAAGTTTCCCAAGGTGTGTGTGTCATTCAGCCTCCCAGGAAAGCCCCTGGAAGCTCAGGACACGGTGGAAAACAGGCTTGGTTTGGAAGAGGAATACCATCAAGATGGCAAGTGCTGCACCTCCCTCCCAGCACCCCCCAGTTTGTGGGTGTTTTCCCCAGGTGCTCCCTAATCACTGCCTCATCGCTCCCCAAAAGGAGCAGGACCAGGGGAAGCAGTGAGAGAGGGTGTCAGCCTCGTTTACTGCAGGGATGCTCTACCTGTGCTGCTAATTAGTGGCGTGAGGAGCGAGTGCTTTCCTCCCTAGTGGCAAGCAGCTAATAAACTAATTAGGATAATGGGTAACAGAGCAGATAAAACTCTTAAGCTATTTGCTGACAGGTTAGGGATGGGTGTGGAGCCTTTCCCCCAGCCACCCCCTCAGCAGGAGGGCAGGCAGTGATGTCCCAGCCTGTGTGACACCGGTGGTCCTAGTTCTGCTGCTCCAGCGATGCTCTGCACCAGGAAAGGCTCTGCAGGTATTTCTCTGGGAACCCTGTTTTGCAGCTTCCTTGTGTTTTGTTGGTTTTTTTTTCTCTAGGGAGCTGTAAGCCCAAAGTCCCTTTATTTTTGCACAGATGCTGCATTTTCCACACCAGCACCCCCACCACCCTGCGCAGGCAGATGATGCTCGAGGCTGGTGATGAGGGTGACCCTGGTGGAGAGGACTCCATCACACCAGTCCCCATCACACCAGGAGTTTTGTGTCTTTCTGAGGTGCTGGATGAGGGGGAAGCTGATGCCTCCTCCAAATGCTCTGCATGGCTCCCATCTATCCCCAACAGCTTGTGGATGGGGTGGGAGAGTGTGGTCCCAGCCCCACAGCATCCCTTGGGGCAGTGCCACCAGCAGAGCCTGGCAACAGAGCCTGCCACCAAAATCAAAGGCTGCAGAAGTGAGACTTTTAACGGGTAAGACAAATAAAGGGCTGTGTAGTCTGCAGAGCAGACAGCCTAAACAAATGTGGGTGTAGGTTTTTCTGTCTTGGAAGAGCTTGGTCAGCTATGGAAAATGCCCGAAGCTTTAAAAAAAAAAATGGAGAATTTCCACCACCCCACCCAGGAGTCCTGAAACAAATGAAGCGATAACTACATAGAAAGTGTAACGGGCTTATTTCCAGAGCCAGGGCACACGAGCTGGTCAGGAACTTCTCCATCAGAAATCACCAAAGGGTGCCAAGCCCAGGCCAGCTCGGTGCTGCCTAGAGCCTGCCTCTCCCCTGGCCTGTGTGGGAGCCTTACCCTCCCCACGGCTGCCAGCTCACCCAGCAGCCAGGTCACGGGTGGAAATGCTGCTCCTTGTAGCCAAGGGGGAGGATTTGAGGCCGAGAGTTGCAGTGACCTTGGGCTCAGGCAGGGAGCTGCCACGTGGCCCTCCCCGCCGCGTGCTCTAACCATTGCGTTTGGCTCTTGCCCTTTCCTCTCTTCAAAAGAAGCTGTTTTTAGAGTCCCCTCTCTCCCAAAGTGCTTAACGGCTCTCTGATCCCAGCTGGAGAAAGCCAAAGAGAGGAGCAGAGCATCCATCTTCGCTGCTCCTGAGTCCCCTTTATCCCTGCATCACACGTGCAGCGAGATGGGACCGGTCCTGTAGCATCTCCAACCTGAGGTCTGAAGACTGGACACAGTGAGGGATGGAGAGAGCCCTGTGTCCCCATGGGGTGCCCATGGACCACCCTGCACAGCACGGGTGTGGGGCTGGGGGCTGCTTCCCACTCCTCCTCCATCCTTCCCCTTTCAAGGCAGGAGGTGAGCCCATCCCCAGCTCCCCGCGCTGATGGGGACCTGCAAACTCCATGCTCAGATTTTTGGGGCACCCGGCCAAAATCCTAATTGCAAATTGCAGCTGGTGGGGCTCCAGGAGCCTCTGCTCTCCCCCTGAAAAGCCCACAGCTGGTTTCCTTCACGCCCTGTGCCTGGGCTCCTTCTAGCCCTCGTTAAAGCAGATGGGAAAGGGGCTCACTGGCATGGGACAGGTCGGGCTGTTTGTTCTGCTGCTGGTGGGGGAACCTTGGTTCTCATTTGGGGAGTGCCCGGGGTAATCCTGCACCCTCATTAGGTTATTTTTGACAATTCCAACCCTTCCCTACAGGTGTGAGGAACCACTCGCTGCCCATCCCTGGCTGACACCTCCCGAGCCCGATCCAGACCACTCCATCAGCAGGTCAGACCCTTCAAGGGCATCAAGCAATTAAAAACCTGATCTTAAACCTCCAAGTCCTCGCAGGGTTTTTAGCTGAGGGTGGAAGGAGGGAAGCTTCATTACGCTGTGCTGGGGTCACTTATTAACCTGCTGGTTCCTAACGATGCACTTATCTCCCCCTGCCAGCCCTGGACTCAATCAGGCACCTCTGGGAGTGGGGGTGTGTGGTATGTGCTCTCCTGCCCTACGTTGCTCTCTCTTCATTAGCTTCTCATTTTGCTTAATTGTGCTGCAAATTTGCCTGGGGGATGCCCGTGGGGAGATGGGGCAGTGCTTTGCTGGGCACGAAGCTGCATCAAGGTGTGGGATGCCGTGATGCTGGTTCATGGTGATGGGGAGAGCAGGCAACACCGATGGTCTTGCCTGGAGATGCCCATGGGGGTTTGGTACGGACCCCTAGGCTGGCTGGGGGAAATAGTTGAGGTCTCAGGTACCAAATTCATGCAGGAGAGCACTGAACACCGACTCTACCCAAGAGCTTTGCAGCTAAAACGCAGCTAAAACACAGCTCTCCTCCCACCCAGCACTTGCACCACCACCCCGTGCCCAAAACACGAGCCAAAAAAAGCGTGGGGGGCAGCTCCCCAGCCCTTCTCCCTGCCCCACACCCCGGCTCTGACCTGCAGTGGTGGTGTCCACATCCTTGGCTGCCAGTTCCTCCACCTCTGCCCTCTTGCGAAGCTCCAACCGCCGCGAGAAGCCCTCCCTGGGCTTCCAGAGGTCCTGGATGAGCAGCGGCTTCTCGTGGTCACCCAGGACCCTCAGCCCTTCTGTCTGCCACCGTTTTTCAGGGCCCTCAAACTTCCCGATGACATCGCACAGGGCGTACTGCCCGGCGCTGAGCTGGCTCAGCCCGTAGCGCTCCAGGGCTTCCTTCACCAGCTCCCGGGCACCCGAGCTGCCCGTGGCCAACACACTCTTGTAGTTGGTGCCTGCACAGATGTTGCCCCCAAAGATCTTCAGGACACCAGGGGCTGAGAGCTGGGTGGAGAGCTCGGCTGGGTCATCCTCACCAGCTGCTGGGGAAGAGGAGGTTGAGCTCCGGTCCTTGTAGCTCAGAGTCCGGTACAAGACCTGGGAGAAGATCCGGCTCTGGCGCTTCAGCCGGTTCTTGGATGGTGGAGCCATGGTGGAGGAGGACCCATAAAACATCGTGCGTGAGGTCGTCATGAGGCACAGCTGGGCAGGGGAGAGGAAAAAAAAAAGAAAAGGAAAGATCAGCAGTTTGGAGGCCAGATGTGCAGCAGGGAAGAGCAAGCAAGAACCAGCTGGTGGCCACGGGGCAGCTGCTGTCACCTCCAAGGTGGAAAGGGACATCAAGGGAAATGGTCCTCCCTCGCTGTGCTACCCAGCCAAGCTCAGCTGGGTTCCTTGGCATCAGCACGGTTAGCCCAGGATGGATTTGTCCCTGAAAGCAGAGCCTGGAGTGATCCTGAATTTCTCCATCAAGTGTATTAAGAGGTCCCTCTTGCACAAGCAAAATGCAGTGGGAGGAGCACCAAGCTCAGCAGGACTTGGCGGGGCCCATCCTGGGCAGGAGCCAAGGCATCAAGAGTTACTTTCACTAACGAGTTTACGGAGCAATCCCATTTTTTTTTTTTAGAGGTGAAACAGAAAGCTCAAGTGCAAATTCAATCACTCTGAGGTCACCGCTAAATGCTTTTGCTCACCGAGAGGCACGGGGTGAAAATGGGCTTTAATTAGCCTTTCTAAAAATGTCCTGACTCTGGCAAATCTCTTGGCTGCTGCGAGTTTGCGGAGGATGCTAAAGCACGCGGTGGCATCGCTGACAACACCGCCCTTGTCATGTTAGCCAGGACAGGGCTGCTCGGGGTGGCCATGGGCAGGCAGTGACCAGAGGAGACGTGGCCGTGGCTGTGAGACAGCTCCTGGTGCCCCTCAGTGCCCCTTCTTCCCAACCTGCTGACCCCAGCACATCACTGCTGCCTGGCTCCCCAAAACCAGCCTTAGCAATCAGCCTCAAAAGCAGAGCTCAGCATCTCGTGTTTGGTCCTGGCCAGCCCAGCCAAGCATTGGCCTCCCAGCAGCTTCATGAAAGCCCTCTGGGTCTGGGGAAGGCTGTTCCTGCTCCCACCTTGCACCTGGAGAAACTGAGGTGCCCCTCGGTCACCAGGAAGGGGCTGGGAACCAGGGGGCTGTCCTGGCTGTAGGCAGAGAGGGGTCCTGCCCGGTGTCACCGCCGACATCGATGGGGTTGGCTTTGAGATGGCATCTTGGATGTGCCAACACCCGGCGCTGATAACGCCACCATGACCTGCTGGTGGGGAAGGGATGGGAAAGAGGATTTGAAGGTTTCTGATTTGGACAGGACAGGGATTTCCCTCACCTCCAGATCCACAGCATGCCACCCGTGTGCAGGGAGCAGGGACTCGGTGGGTGCACAGGGGACCCCCAGAACGTCCCGTCCATGGCTACTGGAGAACTTTAACGCAGGGGTTGGTGAGATCCAGGGAGCCCTGGGGTGCTGGCAGCTTTCTGCATCTGCAGCCCCACCTCGCTCGGGCAGGATCTCGCCACCGGAGCAAACCCAGCGCCATCAGGCAGCAGGAAGGATGATGTCGGCCCTGGAAAGCCTCCAAACCACCATCTAATTCAGGAAGAAAAAGCGTCCCTGCTGCTAATGGAAGAGGTCACCTTCTAACCCAGAAACGGTCTCCCTGCCGCGCGCGGGGGATATCTGCAGGGTGTACATCTCCCCACCCCAGCACTGGAGGCCCACTGGATGCTGCAGATGGGGAAACTGAGGCACCAGCAAATATTAAGACTGCAGGATGTGCCTGGGAGCTGTGGGATCGTGCTGCACCCCAAGTCACCCCTTTTTCCCCCCACATCCCTACTCCCACCAGGACTGTGAAAATGCTGGGGTATGTCCTTCTTCCCAACCTGCTGGCCCCGGCACATCACTGCTGCCTGGCTCCCCAAAACCAGGCTTGGCAATCAGCCTCAAAAGCAGAGCTCAGCATCTCATGTTTGGTCCTGGCCAGCCCAGCCAAGCACTGGCCTCCCAGCAGCTTCATGAAAGCCCTCTGGGTCTGGGGAAGGCTGTTCCTGCTCCCACCTTGCACCTGGAGAAACTGAGGTGCCCCTCGGTCACCAGGAAGGGGCTGGGAACCAGGGGGCTGTCCTGGCTGTAGGCAGAGAGGGGTCCTGCCCGGTGTCACCGCCGACATCGATGGGGTTGGCTTTGAGATGGCATCTTGGATGTGCCAACACCCGGCGCTGATAACGCCACCATGACCTGCTGGTGGGGAAGGGATGGGAAAGAGGATTTGAAGGTTTCTGATTTGGACAGGACAGGGATTTCCCTCACCTCCAGATTCACAGCGTGCCACCCGTGTGCATCTTGGATGTGCCAACACCCGGCGCTGATAACGCCACCATGACCTGCTGGTGGGGAAGGGATGGGAAAGAGGATTTGAAGGTTTCTGATTTGGACAGGACAGGGATTTCCCTCACCTCCAGATCCACAGCATGCCACCCGTGTGCAGGGAGCAGGGACTCGGTGGGTGCACAGGGGACCCCCAGAACGTCCCGTCCATGGCTACTGGAGAACTTTAACGCAGGGGTTGGTGAGATCCAGGGAGCCCTGGGGTGCTGGCAGCTTTCTGCATCTGCAGCCCCACCTCGCTCGGGCAGGATCTCGCCACCGGAGCAAACCCAGCGCCATCAGGCAGCAGGAAGGATGATGTCGGCCCTGGAAAGCCTCCAAACCACCATCTAATTCAGGAAGAAAAAGCGTCCCTGCTGCTAATGGAAGAGGTCACCTTCTAACCCAGAAACGGTCTCCCTGCCGCGCGCGGGGGATATCTGCAGGGTGTACATCTCCCCACCCCAGCACTGGAGGCCCACTGGATGCTGCAGATGGGGAAACTGAGGCACCAGCAAATATTAAGACTGCAGGATGTGCCTGGGAGCTGTGGGATCGTGCTGCACCCCAAGTCACCCCCTTTTTCCCCCCACACCGCTGCAGATGGGGAAACTGAGGCACCAGCAAATATTAAGACTGCAGGATGTGCCTGGGAGCTGTGGGATCGTGCTGCACCCCAAGTCACCCCTTTTTCCCCCCACATCCCTACTCCCACCAGGACTGTGAAAATGCTGGGGTATGTCCTTCTTCCCAACCTGCTGGCCCCGCCCCTACTCCCACCAGGACTGTGAAAATGCTAGGGTATGTCCTTCTTCCCAACCTGCTGGTTCCGGACCATCACTGCTGCCTGGCTCCCCAAAACCAGGCTTAGCAATCAGCCTCAAAAGCAGAGCTCAGCATCTCATGTTTGGTCCTGGCCAGCCCAGCCAAGCACTGGCCTCCCAGCAGCTTCATGAAAGCCCTCTGGGTCTGGGGAAGGCTGTTCCTGCTCCCACCTTGCACCTGGAGAAACTGAGGCAGGGATGGGGTTAAGGCTACGACTCCTCCAGGGCTTCTGCTCCTCCTCCAGCTGAGCACAGAGCTGCTGCTGGGGACATCCCTGGGGACATCCCTGGGTGTCTGCTGTGTGACATCTCAGGCAGAGCCGACCTGGGGAGCAGGTCAGGGCACTGGCAGACAGTCGGGCTGAAGAACGGCTTCCCCAGGCTGTCAGCAGCCTCATTAACATCGGCTGGAAGAAAAACTGCCCCAGTGTCCCTAGGAGACCTTGCCATCAAGGATGCAAAAGATGAAACTTTGTCATCAAACCACTGTTTTCAGTTCCTGGGTTTAATCTCCTCCGCCCTGAACAACCTCTGGCACAAAGGGAAACCTTTTAGCATCTGCTGCTGGGTAAAATTGTTCCTCTGAACCCACATCACAGATGGAGACACCATCCTTGCTTCTCACAGGTCCCTGCCTGGTTTTGAATATGTTATTTATAGCTCAGCCATTTCCCTGCTCTTTCCATCAACTACAGCTTCTACAGAGCGCAGGGGCAAAGGCATTTCTTCTGGGGGGTGGGAAATAAGAAGCCTGGAGTGAGAGAAGCTTCTAGCCTGGTCACCCAGTTGTTCAACATCTGGAGCAACACCGGTGGGATTCCAGCAGGCACCAGCCTGAGAAGTGGCAGCCTTATCCCAAAGCCAGTGTGATGCAGAGGACTCCAAGGGATGGAGGGAGCCGATAACAAGGTGGGCTCTTCCTGCATTTACTCTTGGGCACGTCAGTCACCTGCATCTCCAAGGAGGCTGAAGAGAAGACCATGGTAGGTGTGATGCAGTTGGGTCCTGCTGCGAGAGTGGGGATGTTCCAGCTGGACCCAGCTACCTGGGTTAACTGTTCGGGCACATCTTCCTGTAGGTTGGTGGGACACGTGCTCTGAGACACCCCCCAGGCCAAGTGAGCCCCCTCCTCGCTGCAGACAGCCCAGTTTCCTGGCCCACCATCGCAGGCGTGCGCTGTTGGAGGACACACGCCTGCAGCTACAGGAGCGTGACCCAGACTTCCCAAAGAGTCCCCTTCAGGGCTCGATGACATCTCTGTTAACAACTGTAGAGTAATTAGCCAAAAGCCTGTGATTTCCTCCCAGCAGAGTCTCTATCAGGTATCCTCCACCTCCTTGCATGCCATGCCCAGCCACACCAAAACCTGCTGTTTTCCCTGGCCAGCAGAGTCTGTATTTAGTCTGCAGAGCTATGACGAATGCTTTTGAAATTCACATGGCCACCACATGTCCTTCCATCACCACAACCCACTCGGCCACCACCAGGGACTTTCCTGTGGGCTCTGAGGTTCCTGCTCCCAGCGTGGGTGAGCAGCTCCTTCCCACCGCCCCCACCCAGCGCTCACGCAGAGCTTCCCCTTACCTTGCCATCCTCCTCACGTGCCTCTTCTCCTTCCATTCATCGTCTTCCTCAAAATGGGCCTTCCCCCCTGTCACGCATCGCCCCCGGCGGGTGTCTGTCGTGTCTCTGCAAGAGGAAGAGGAGGAGGCTGCTCACAGTGTGGTGGCTTTGGTGGGCTCGGAGATGCTGTGGCTCTGCTCCCTATGTGCATCATGTTTGCACAGAGTCTCCTGAGCTGCATATATATCCTATACAGCTCATCATATCATTATATTCCCCTGCCTCAAGCTAAACAGCCCAGTCCCTTGCTGCTGTTGAGGGCTGCTTACCCCTGGGGACCCACAAGGGATGTGTGGTTAGTTATGGGTGTGTTTGTGTATGTTCTTCCAGCCACAGCTCAGAGATGGGGATGACCAGACCAGCCCCAACCTCAGGCTCCATCCCAGCAGGAACACGGCAGCCTTGTTGGGCAGATGAAGCAAATCCAGCCACGGTGATGCCCACCAACAGCATCTACCCCATCGCAAAGGGACAGGGAGAGAACAGCTACAGGAAAGGAAAGATGAAGTGGAGGAGATGGCACCAGCCACAATCCCACCTTTATCTCCTCCCAAACATACGTGGCCCTGGGGATGCCAGGCTGGGGACCCTCTCATCCATGGGTGGGCAATGGGTCCTGGACCAGCTCCTTTGCCCCCAGCAGCCACAACACGCTGGGATGCTCACTAGAGATTTGTTTTTCCTGGATCTCTGTCTATTTTGTTGGACATCAGGGAGAAACACCAAGCACCATCCCCTCAACCTCCTGGCACAGAGCTGCAGGAACGCAACCACTGGGAACCAAAAGAGAAAAGAAGCACCTGCAAAGTGCCTGCAGTGATTTCACAGGTGCTTCTCAGAAAGAGCTGGCAGGGCACAAGAAATACTCTTTTCCACGGCTCCACTGTGATTAAAGACAAACGTGCCATCTAATTAAATCACCTAATCAGGGCCTCGGTGCAGGTCAGTTCCAGCCCCTCTTGCTGGGGCTACAGGAGAAACTTTCTGGGAGGCCACGGGTTGTGACACGAAAGGTAAAGAGATGTTCAAACCACCTCTGCTGCTCCATGTTTCTTCCAACCATTAATTGCCCCTGACAGTTAAATATTTATGCCTTATTTCCAGTGTGTCTGGCTTCGGCTGCCAGACATTGATTCTCATCACGCTTTTCTCTGCTCCGTTAACGAGCTTTTGGCCACCGTGTATTTTCTCCTCTGCGAGAGTATTTAGATGCTTTAATCAAGCCCCCCCTTGTTTCTCTTGGAGTTGATTTACGAGCAGAATAACTGGATGGCCAGCTCCTCTCTCGCTCTAAGGCATTTTCTGCAGCCTCTTGGTCCCTTCCCCTGGGTTCCCACATCTCCTCTGCTGACGTGGAGAGAGGGGGGTTTGGCTTTCATAAGCCCCAAACTCGGTTTTGATAGTGCCCTGACTGAAAAGGCGAGGGGGGTTTGGCTTTCATAAGCCCCAAACTCATTTTTGATAGTGCCCTGACTGAAAAGGTGAATAACTGCTATTTTTTTTTTTTGCAGAGCAAAATTTCCCATTACCCTGAAGGTTTTGAATTCTCCAGCACAGAAATGGGGACAGACACCGAGATGCCCCCCAGGCAGCAGAGGAAGGACCTGGTGAGCCCCAATGCTGCCTCTCCCAGCCTCTGCGAGCAGCTCCGGCCGAAAACGGTGCGTGGTGAATTTATCATCCAGATTAGGGCCAGGAAAACACGTACAACTCCGGTTATTATTTTTGGGTGCGAGCAGATTTCCATTTTCCATTCCCCTCCAGTTAGGACACCTTTCGCTCACCCAGTTTACTGTCCGGATTTGTACAGGCTCCAAAGGCTGTGGCTGCTCTGGGTCAGCCCCAGGTTTTTCCAGAAATCATTTCTATCTGCTTCCAGATTAGTGATAAAAGCACTGAAACACCGAGGGCACGCTACCAGCCGGCAGTGCCCAGCGGTGATAATCTCCTCTGATAACTGCCTTTGAAATGGAGCAGGTTTATTTAATACCTGCTTTCTTGACACTGTATAATGTCAGCACTAAATACTGGACTGGACTGACTTTTTTTTTAATACTGGAAAGTGCAGGTTTTTACAAGAATATCACCTCGCATAACTCAAATGCTTTGCAAAAGCATATTGCAGCCAGAGAGTCACCTCTCGCAGCAGAGACTGAAATCATTTCTACTTGCCAGGAGTTATTTTCCATATAGCTGCCTTGGATGGCAGGAATTTATTCCTGGTGAAGTCTTTAATCAATTAAAGCCTGAGCCAGGTTTCTGCCTCTTCTGCCCCGGGGGGATGCTATCAAGCCAATCAACCTGTAGCTACCAGGTCATCTTACTCCCTTTTGGGAAGAGCAGCAACACTATTAAAACACTTTTTAATCTTCTGGAATTTCCCCAGGGCTCGTCCCGCCGCAGACACGGCTCTGCCTGGATGGGGGGGGGGGTGAGATTTCAGCTAGAACCCTCCCAGAAGGGCAACCAGAAAAGCAATTTCCCTAGAGCTCTATTTGAAAAAAAATCACTTTTTTTTTTTTTTTTTCCATTTTTTTGGACAGAAACCACTGGAGTCACAGCCTGGGTCTAATGGCAACGACCGCAGCCTGGATGCTGCGAGCGGAGGGAGAGGCCGGCCCGGCACTGCAATGTGGAACAAATTATAACTCGGGAGAGCAAAGGAAATGAGAACACCCTGGCCACGGAGGCTTTGACGTGCGCTCCTCGCCTCCAAATCCTGCCCCTCTGCAGAGCCCGGCCTTCCCGCCCAACGCTGCCAGGGCAGAGCCCAAACCTCTCCCTTCTCAATCACAGCCCCCCACTCCGGACCAAGTCCCCTCTTCGGAGCCCAGCCTTGTCTTGTGTGGGTTTTATCTGCCTAATCTAGGGCCAGATCCGAGGCTGAAAACGTCCCTGCCAGCCTCGGTGCTGTCTTTAGCCGGATCAGAGTGGGTAAACCCCTTACCACGTTATTATTAGCAGCAGGAACCCTGAGGTAGCACCCGGACCCCCGGGGACCGTTCAAACAGGACATAAAGGCAGCCCCAGTGCCTCAAAGATAAACCAACAGTTTGTCCTAAAGGCAGCTATAGCTCCACAAACACATTATAACGATTTAAGACCTGATCCTACAAGGGCAACAGGAGTCCTTTTAACGGGTTTTCTTTTTTTCTTGCATGTATATATATTTTTTTTCATTATTTTGCAGGGTCTTTTGAGCCGCCAACGTGCATCAGCTCTCTGGTAGGAATGCCAGCCCTCTGCCCGGGCAGCTCTATTCACACACACACAATCAAGAAACATTTCACAAGGAGCATTTGCTTTCTGCTGCCTTCTGAGCAGCAGAGTCTCAGTAGGCTGCCTAATTATAAGATCTTAGCAATAGTTCTTTTTCTTTTTTTTTTTTTCTTTTTTTTTTTTCCAGTGATAATTAACCGATCCTGGCGAGTGCTGAAAATAAGCACTTCCCAAGCAAGTTGCAAACTCCCCTGAGTTTTCTCTGCTAAAGTTCCAACTCAGCATGAAACTGCTCCAGCCCCGTGGGGACACACGGACCATCCCAGCACCTCTCCACCAAGGCCTGGGATGCCAAGACAATCACAAGCAGCTGAATGCAGGTGAAATAGGGTGTGTGGAGTGGGAGTGGGATCCCAAGGTGGTGGGGGGGGGCGATGGGGCAAGGATCCCGAGGGGCCCGCAATGGGGAGAAGGATCTCAAAGGGTATGGAATCAGGAGAAGGATCCCAAGGAATGTGCAATGGGACAAGGACCCCCAGGGATGTGCTATGGGGAGGAGGATCCCAAGGAGTGTAGTGTGTGATGGGACAAGGACCCCCAGGGATGTGCTATAGGGAAGAGGATCCCAAGGAGTGTGATGGGACAAGGACCCCCAGGGATGTGCTATGGGGAGGAAGATCCCAAGGAGTGTGTGATGGGACAAGGACCCCCAGGCATGTGCTATGGGGAGAAGGATCCCGAGGAGCGTGCAATGGGACAAGGACCCTGAGGGGCGTGCAAGGGGGAGAAGGATCCCAAGGGGTATGGAATGAGTATGAGGATCCCAAAGAGCATGCAATGGGACAAGGAACCCCAGGGGGATGCGATGGGACAAGGCTCCCAAGGGGTACGGAATCAGGACAAGGATCCCAAGGGGTGAGGAACGGGGACAGGGATGGCAGGGGACGTGCAATGGGAGGAGGATCCCCAGGGGTGTGATATGGGGACAAGGATCCCCAGGTGCCTGGCGATGGGACAGGGCTCCCGAGGAGCTGGTTCTCCCCGACGGGCAGCGGGGGCAGGTCGGGGGTCTCCAACGGCAACCGGGCAAGCCTCAACCCCCCCCCACCCCT